TCCCATCATGCTGTTTACCTGGGACTGATAACACTTTCACCTGCAGCTCATCCACACTCACATACATCTCATTCAGATACTCCATATAAACCACACTCAAACAATAGACCATTGCGAAGTATTACATTGCCACTGCCTGTAATTCCTCTAATCTGTTTATTGACCTTGGATTGTTTTCTCGTTTCTGCCTGTTTGCTGCCCGCCCTGAACTTCTGCCTGTGACCTGACTACTCTCTGTGTTTATTCTCTCATCTCCCTGTTTAGCCGTTGCCTGACTCTTGCCTGTTTTGACGTTTCTTTCATTAAAAAGCTGCAAATGGATCCCCTTAGGTCTTCCAATTCGTAACACCTTGTAATCAATCAGATCAAAGTGTGATCGTCAATGAGCGGAGGTGGGGCTCATTTGCATATTCATACAACCGCGCATACTAAATTAGGCAAGGGTGTCGAGTTAAAGTCTTTGCACACCAAAATTTTTATTTTAAGGCATGAAAAAAATGTTAAATAATTAATTCAGGTGATTATTTTGTTCATTACTATGGAAGCTTGTTTTCCGCCACTGAATTAAAAAAAGAAAAAAGTAATTGCGAATTTTTATCTCACAATTGCGAGATATGAAGTCAGAATTGTGAGAAATAAAGTTGTAATTGCGAGAAATAAAGTCGCAATTGCGTGTTATAAAGTCACAATTGCGAGATATAAAGTCACAATTGCGTGATATAAAGTCAGAATTGCGAGATATAAAGTCACAATTGCGTGATATAAAGTCACAATTGCGTGATATAAAGTCAGAATTGCGAGATATAAAGTCAGAATTGTGAGCTATAAAGTCAGAATTGCGTGATATAAAGTCACAATTGCGTGATATAAAGTCAGAATTGCGAGATATAAAGTAGGAATTCGGAGAAAAAATAACAGAAGTGCGACTTTTTATCTCACAATTCTGACTTTTTTTTCTCACAATTGCGAGTTTACATCTCGCATCTCTGACTTTATAACACATAATTGCGAGTTTATATGTCGAAATTCTGACATCTTTTCTCAGAATTGTGAGATACAAACTCGCAATTACGAGTTATCAGGCCAATTCTAAGGGGGAAAAATACTAAAAAAAATTTCCCCCTCAGAATAATTTATATCTCACAACTCTGACTTTCCAACACGCAATTACGACTTTATATCTTGCAATTTAGACTTTATATCACACAATTTTGACTTTATATCTCGCAATTGCGACTTTATATTACCCAATTCTGACTTTATATCTCGCAATTCTGAGAAATAAAGTCAGAAATGTGAGAATTGTGAGATAAAAAAGTCGTAATTACCTTTTTATTTTTCCTTCTGTGGCGGAAACAAACTTCCATACATAACGTCCATTCTTGATGTGCTTTGAGACATGAGGTGATTTAACGCCGTCTCTCGTGATGCTTTGCGCACTCTGTCTGTGAGTGTGTTCATGTGTTGAAGGAGGTGTGACTTTGGAGACGCTCTGAAGGGAGGGTGGGATCTCATGCTTTCAAAACTACTGGTTTGAGGGGTTTAGAAAGGTTGACGAACTGTGACACCTCAGAGATCTGCATCCAAGTCTATTAGACATTCATTAAATATGCATGTAATGACTTTACACCCTACCCTCCTAATTGCTTGTAAAACGACGCTAAGCTGTAGAATAAATCTCTGACCTCACAGTTCAGGATTGGGCAACATGGAAATTGTTAGCTGGATTGTGGTGGGCAGCGCAGAAGTCAATTTTGAGGCAGTCCCAGTCTACTGGATCCACCTGCGAAGACCTGCTCACTGACATTGGCAGGTTGCATTCTGGGAATCCATCTGGTGGCTCCACAGACAGGACGAAACCTGCTAATTAGCTCTCTCTGTAAAGGGTCTGGGTCGAAGCGAATTCCCAGCTGTCATTAAACATACTCGGAAAGGGGGAGAAGGAAGAAAAGCACCAGGGATCCAATGCTCTAATTCCTCTTTTTAGAAGAAGAGAGAGCTGAGGATCCGGTTGTGTTTTGATCGCCGAGTAAAACGCTGCTTCATTGGGATGTTTGCGCTGTAATGAATTGCTTTACTGTCGCTTTGTGCAGCTTCTGAAAGAGGAAAATCCCTCGGCGTCACCTTTGGCACACCTTCTTTTCAAACCCCCGCAGAACCTCACGGAAACAGAAGACTTGAAATCACATGAGGTACTAAAGTAGAGCACAAATAACAACAGAATATGCAGAAATAAACATAATAGCTCTCCGATGACTGACTTGAACAAACACGCACCATAAGTGGCTTCAGTCATTTCGGAGTGAAACATAAAGGCCGGAAAAGCTCCACTTTGGCGATTAAAGCTCACACACTGAGAATTCTCAATCTCCATTCCCTTGAGAAATTGTGTTTGCACACACGGCCCGTGCAAGCATTCTCATTCAATGATTAAATTACTGTTTTATCCAGGAAACTATAGCAGCCATTCAGATCCAAATGACTTTAATCTCAGCGTTTGCCCAGTCGCAGAGTCGACAGCAACGGCTCGGTTTTATAACGCTGATCACATGGCTGCATCCGAACAATCAAATGGTTCCTGAAATGAGAATTAGACTTATAGGATGCTCCCTACAAAAAAACAAAGCAATTTCAGTAAATATAGAAGAGGAGTGAAATCCGGATGCAACCGCATTCTCTTGATGAAAGTTATTAGTCATCAGGGCTTGACATTAACACCCGTCGACCCGTGTATTTCAGCAGTGCCGAGGAGCGTGCAATGTAGGGTTTTGAAAGTGTAGATTTTTGAAATATTTACTGAAATACCTAAAACGCTTCCAATATCCTCACTCACTCCATTCATTTGCTCCGGATGAATAGTGTTGCTGTTAAAGGAGTAGTTCACTTTTGAAAAAACGTTTGCTGATAATTTACTCACCCCCATGTCATCCAAGATGTTCATGTCTTTCTTTCCTCAGTCGAAAAGAAATTAAGGTTTTTGATGAAAACATTCCAGGATTTTTCTCCTTATAATGGACTTCAATGGGAACCAGGTCCAACCGAGGTCCAAACGACAGTTATAACAGTTACAGATGCAGCTTCAAATGTCTTTAAACGACACCAGACGATGAATAAGGGTCTTATCAAGCGAAACGATCGGTTATTTCAAAGCTTATTCCAAAAAATGTAACTTTTCTAAGGACAAATGCTAGCCTTTCTCCATTCTGTGAGGCGCGTTTGCAACGTCACGTAATACGTAATTACGTTCAAAAGGTCACGGGCGACGTAGCCAGAAGTACAGAGTCAGAGTGTTTACAAGTTGAACGCATAGGTTGAACGTGAAAACTAACTCAAACGCCGTTTACAAAAAAGGAATTAAAAGGTAAAACAACGATGTTGGACGATTTTGATTCTGTACTTCCGGCTACGTCGCCCGTGACCTTTTGAACGTAATTACGTATTACGTGACGTTGCAAACGCGCCTCACAATATATTACAAGGCTAGCCAACCCGGTCTCATCCCAAGACGTCATACGTCTTTTGACCATACGTCAATATTCGCCTTTTTAGGGCCCCCTTAAACGTCGGTAGATGAGGTTATGGGATCCTAACTCTACTACCCCATACCTAAACCTAACCCGTCACCTAACTGACGTTAAAGGTAAAGCGTCAGTTGTATGACGGCCCGGGATCGCCATCTACCGACGTTTAAGGGGGCCCTAAAAAGGCGGATATTGACGTATGGTCAAAAAACGTCCCAAGACGTCAGTTATATGACTTTTTGGGATGAGACTGTGTTAGGCTAGCATTTGTCCTTAGAAAAGTTACATTTTTGGAATAAGTTTTGAAATAACCGATCGTTTCGCATGATAAGACCCTTATTCATCGTCTAGTGTCGTTTAAAGACATTTGAAGCTGCATCTGAAACTGTTATTAACTGTTGTTTGGACCTCGGTTGGACCTGGTTCCCATGGAAGTCCATTATAAGGAGAAAAATCCTGGAATGTTTTCATCAAAAACCTTAATTTCTTTTCGACTGGACATTTTGGCCGATCTCGAAACACATTTTCAGGCAGACTCATCACGGAGACTCACTAGTAGCCTAGACTTGTTGTTTAACGACTGCGCTCTGTTACTGGTAAGCGTGGCCTCCTAGGGCAGCGAAGCAAGTGCATTCTGGGAGTTGTTGTCTTTCATCCACATAAGCCAAAAATACATTTTCTGGCTTTTCTCAGTCTAGAAAGCTCCAAATTCAAAAATAATTTCACATTTCTTCTACATAAATGACATTTTAAATACACATTCATCTTTATAGAGGTGGAATGACCCTTTAATTAGTCAAATACACGCAACATAATGTCAAAATGCCAGTCTTTTTGAGTATTCATGTAAACACAGTCAGTTCTGTTTTCAGTGATTTTAAACAGTTGACAGGTCCTAAAGTGACAGCAGCCTAATAAAACTGCTGCCAAATTATGAGAAAATATTTAATATATCTATATGGCAGTTTACCCCCACTATAGTGATGCCAAAATGTCAGCATAGTCATTTTTCTTTGTTTCCCTGGTTCATATTCATAAATCTGCCGGCTAGGGGTAGCTGTCACATGGGCAAGTTGTCACAAGCTTTACCTCTCACTTTTATGCAAATGCTTTTTCATAAGAAGACATTGGGGCAAGTTGTCACCATTGTTTTAAAGTTCATTAATTATAATTTATCCTGCCCGACAAAGATTTGTACAAAGCGTTCCAGCTTGCCCCAGGCTCCCATATAAAGCACACATCAATTAATCCCAATCAGATTGCTTTAGTGTTTGTGTTATTTTGCTATTCTGTTTTTTATATTGCCTTATTGGTTTTATATTGTGGAAATGCAATTCACATAATTCAATAGCAAAACGCTCTCTATAGATGTCCTGGAAAGCAGGGTTCCTCACACCCCCTCTCTTGCATGTGTGTGTGCGCTTCTGGTTTCCTAGTAACCCGCGCCAGTGCTGGCGTTCCCGAACACTCAAGCGTGTCCGCGCAGCGCGCACTCGTGAAGCTCGTGTGGGGAGCTCACGAACACGCAGGACCAGAGCATCAGGAACATACACGCAGGAAAAACACGGGAATGTGACTGGAGTGTAAAGGATGAAGGATGCGTTCGCTGGAAAAGGTCACACGAAATGCATGAAGAGCAGTGGGAGGAAATCTTAACGCAACTGCAACGGATTACCAATAACACACACACACGTATAAAGGCTTTTTTTTTTTTTTTTTGAGGGAACATGAATACCAGGAATGGGGGATTTGATATTTCACCAAAGCAGGTGAGTTGTTTATGTGGATAAGTTATTAGTCACCATACGAACAGTCTTGAGAAGGCGGTGCGCACCGCTATATGTCTTATCTCAAGATCTCTTGTGCCAGGATTGCCACTTGATAATTGGTGAACTTGAGTGTTGCTTGTGTCTGTGGTGTGGAGATGTGCAGTTCTGTGGATTAAGAACAGCTGAAGTCAACTAGACAAGCTGCGATGCTGGTAAAAGTAAAAGGAGGTGAGGATGAGGATCTCTTGCACTTGTTACACCCCATCTGCACTGCAAGCGAGCGACGCGACAAAATTACAACGTCCCCCCAAAAAGCGCGGCGTTCTAGTTGCGTCGCGTCCTGCCGCTCGCCTAAAAAAGTCTTTGATTGGTCGCCGTCGGTATCCCATCCGCAAGCTCGAGAGACGCGTCGCGTCGCGCGCTCGAGGTCTGGACGGCTGCGGTGATTTCAATAGTTTTGTCGCGTCGCTACAGATGGTGTTTTTAAGCGTCTTCCATGACGCGTTCATGTTACGCGTGATTGGGTTCATGTTTGTCTTCAGATTTGGTCAATATTTTACAGTTAATTCATTTGGACAGTTTGAATAATTATTATAAAATCCAGTGTTTTAGAAGCGTTTCCATGCATGCACATATGCAACGTAGCAGATTAAGTTTTTTTTCAATCTAGTTTTTTATTTATTTATTTTATTCAGTGTATATATTTGTATTAGGGAAAGTGTATATCTTGTCTGTAACTCTCCATTTCCTTTAGGTTTCTTTTTAAATTGAATTAAAATGGCAAATGGTCCTGCTGTGTAACAAATGCATTTTTTTAAAGTACAAATATGTAGCCTCGCTAATTATGAGCTCATAAAAACTGCATGTATGTAGAAATGAATGTTGCTTGAAATAGATTTAAATGAATTATAGCATGTCACTCCATGGGGTACTTATAAATAATTTACTAGCAGCTACCCACATTCAACAAATGCTTTCTGTTTGGTTGCTTAATATGAACAAAACTACTGCATTATTGAATAATGACATGTTGTACTGACTGGTGTTTGTGCTGCTCATATTTTAATTTAAGACAGATTCAATGGCTTTACAGTTTTAAGACTGTAAAACTGTAGTTTAAAAGATTTGAGTGATGATTTGCACTGAATTGCAAAGCAGAGAGAGAGAGAGAGAGAGAGAGATGTGCCTTGGAGTTGTCATGGTGATTTGGTGAATAAGCAATTGTCCGTAAAGGCGACGCATTAAAAGGGTTTGCTGTTGCCATTGCCTATCAGTGAGGAGCATATTTCAGCTCGGGTTAGAGTTGGGTTCGGCTTGGCTTATTTCGCTGTGAGACAATACATTGCAACTTAAGTGATTGTGATTGGTGGAAGTGAGCCTGGAAGTGGATGGTATCTCCAAAGTAAGCCTAATTCCGTAGCCCTGCCATTCACGCTGGTTTATCCTGTGTTTTTACGCAGAGAACCTGTTTATGTGCTCTGGCATTTAGTGTCTTGAGGGATTATGCACGCTCCTGCTTTTGAATTTCCTCTCTCTACCAATGTCTTTATTGGTATTTTGGCCTCGTACACTGGTATTTCTGAAGCTGCCGCTGATTTAAATCCGTTCTGAATGACACGTCTGAGATCTGAGCTCTTTGTGACGTCTGCTAAAGAACTAAAGGAACAAGTTGTTAGAAATATGCTGTTCTCTTTCCTACAGACCAGATAAATCCAGAACAACTGTAGCATTTTGTTTCTAACTCCTAGCTGTAGCCGGCACTTGGACCGTCACAATGCATAAGATATTAATACTTGTTTTGCAGGGTAGAGAGTTCAAGTATAGTATGAACTTTCATAGAAAAAAAATGTCATTAAGGGTAAGAACAATTGAAGAGTTTAGATGCAAAAGCCTCTAAATACCATTTGAAATTTTCTTCTTTAATGATGATTTTTATCAAACTTGTATATTTAAGTTCAGTAATTTCACTTAAATAACGATGAATAGGTAATTATCATTGCCATTTAAGTGAAATCACTGAACTTAAATATACAAGCTTGACAAAAATGATCATTCTAGAAGAAAATTTCAAATGGCACTTAGAGGCTTTTGCATCTGAACTCTTCAATTATAAAATATAACACATAGTCTCTAAAAAAACAAGTCTTAAATGGGCAGTTCAACCAAAAATGAAATTTACTCTCCCTCAAGTTGTTTCAAACCTGCATGAGTTTCTTTCTTCTGCTCAACACAAAAGATGATATTTTGAAGAAATATAATCCGACAGGTTTTGGACCCGATTGACTTCCAGTGTAATATTATGTTTTGTTTCATAAAATGGAAGTCAATGAAAGAAATCCATACATGTGTGGAAGATCTTGAGCGTGAGCAAACTATCCCTTTAATATCTTATGCAGTTTGGTATCCTATTTTAAAGATATTTAGGTGAAAAAAATGCTGCTTTTTGCTAGCCGGGTTAAAGTCACAATGAGACGTGGCCTGGAACCACATGTTCATTTTCTGGTATTTGAGGCGTGGTTTACGAATGCCAAGAGTCGTTTATTGGTTGCTATGCATGTCTATCAAATGCGCCTGTACGTAGCTCATTGCCAATCGTTTCAGTTATACCAGAAGACGTATGTAGAGCGACGGAAATTAGATGAGGAAGACGACGATGGGTCAGAGATGTGTGTGTACACAATAGCGTATGTACCTAAGGCTGCATCTTCGCGTCTGCTGCCATGTTGGATTCATAGGTATAAACAAACTTCTTCGGTGTGTCGCATACACGTCGTCATCGTCTGGCAGCTCCCTCCCCGCTCTGTGATTGGTCCCCTCGCTGAGGCCAAAATCTGATCCATGGTGTCCAGACTGCCTATAACCGTGAATAAAATCACGCGGCGCAAAGGCAGTATGAGGAAACCCAGGCTAGCCTTTTGCTGTTAACTATGATAGAGCATATATCTTGATCCTGAAACAGCTAACAGCTAATTATCTAATTCAATTTTATGTTACTTTTTTTTATACTGTTTTTAACCTTAAACTTTGCTAGTAAACTGTTGCATTTGGCAAAATGGCCGTCACCCACCTTTCCCCCAGTTTGATGTATAAGGATCAAAGATATTTCGCTTCATGGTCAATACATCTTGAATATGCTATACTGGAACAAGTGCTAGTAGCTATTTGGGTTTCCCGTCTTTATTGTTACTACAATTTTCCATACACTGAATGATGGGAACACTTTGATGTCATGCTTGAAAACAGAAAACAAGAAAAGCCCTATAGCATCAATCCTCCTGCAAGTCTTTCACTGTTAGATCAAATCAGGTGTTCTGTTCTCCGAGTCACCTTTGCTGACCTCCGTGGTTGACAAACGCTGGACTATTGCCATCACTCAGATGAAGGTCACTCTGACGACGGTCATTCATCTGCCTCTGTGCTTCAGCTGACAGTGTCTGAACGCAGAATACTGCACAAGCGGAAGCAAACAATGACTGGTGTGGTTTTCTGCCAGTTTACCTGCGGATTCTGAACTGACTGAAACATCTTGATAAACTCTTTTAATGGATGAGAAAAAAAAAACACTCTTTATATACACTCACCTAAAGGATTATTAGGAACACTAGTTCAATTTCTCATCAATGCATATGGGCCGACTGATTCAAGCTGACAGAAGAGCAACTTTGACTGAAATAACCACTCGTTACAACCGAGGTATGCAGCAAAGCATTTGTGAAGCCACAACACACACAACCTTGAGGCGGATGGGCTACAACAGCAGAAGACCCCACCGGGTACCACTCATCTCCACTACAAATAGGAAAAAGAGGTGATAATTTGCCAGAGCTCACCAAAATTGGACAGTTGAAGACTGGAAAAATGTTGCCTGGTCTGATGAGTCTCGATTTCAGATGGTAGAGTCAGAATTTGGCGTAAACGGAATGAGAACATGGATCCATCATGCCTTGTTCCCACTGTGCAGCTGGTGGTGGTGGTGTAATGGTGTGGGGATGTTTTCTTGGCAAACTTTAGGCCCCTTAGTGCCAATTGGGCATCGTTTAAATGCCAAGGCCTACCTGAGCATTGTTTCTGACCATGTCCATCCCTTTACGGCCACCATGTCCCCATCCTCTGATGGCTACTTCCAGCAGGATAATGCACCATGTCACAAAGCTCGAATCATTTCAAATTGGTTTCTTGAACATGTCAATGAGTTGACTGTCCTAAAATGGCCCCCACAGTCACCAGATCTCAACCCAATAGAGCATCTTTGGGATGTGGTGGAACGGGAGCTTCGTGCCCTGGATGTGCATCCCACAAATCTCCATCAACTGCAAGATGCTATCCTATGAATATGGGCCAGTTCACAGTGCATTAACTAATGTTGACAATATTTTAATAATTCATTAGTAAATGTTGAAATTAACATTTACAAAGATTACTAAATGCTGTTTAATGTTAGTTCATGTAAACAATTGTAGTTAGTTAACCATTGTTATTTCACGGCTCTGTGAAATACTTGATTCTGATTGGTCAGTATCACCATCCAGCAGTATTTTATTCCCAGATTAGTTTAGACTCGTTTTTTTTTTCTTCATGGGAGTTGTGCATCTAAATTCTGCATCAAACATTTTTGCAATGTGGTGAGCTCTCATGTTTCATACAAACGCTCTGCTGCCATTTTGTGACTATTGTTTTGTACACTGGATTCTAAAATATAAACAGGATTTTAAAATGGTTTAATCTGAAATCACAACCCAATCTCACGGCCGAGTCCTACGAATTCGACGAATGATTAAAAAGTGTCTAATTCGTACGACCTCACTCGTACGATTTTGCTAAATCGTACATATTTTACAAATTGGCCAATTCGTATGAATTCGTACGAATGACCTACCCCTTACCCCGCCCCTAAACCTAACCATCACGCGGGTTTAGAAAAATCGTACAAATTCGTACGAGTGAGGTCGTACGAATTAGACACTTTTTAATCATTCGTCGAATTCGTACGAATTGGGCGT